GGAGCGAGGGACAGCGTGGCCAAGGACAGAGGGGCAAAGGAAAGCGCCAGCGGCTCACAAACACCCAGACGGGGCAGGCGGCATTCAGGTTTCAAGGTCTCATCCAAACGACCCACCCACAGCGAGCGGCCGGAGAGGGTTTGCAGGGGGAAGGGCCAGCCAGATTTTGCAGTGGCTCCAGGGAGTCTGGTTATTTCGGCTGCGATGGCTGGAACAGGGAGCCCCGCGCGCCCGATTGCTAAGGGAACAGCAAGAACAGCATCCCCAGCACCCACCCAGCCGGCGGCAGGGTGCATCGGCACCATCTGGTAGGTGAATCAGCCTGCAGACAACTTGCTGGCAGCTCTGCGGCGAGGCTCCCCCCCCCCCCCCCCCCTCGGAGGTGAGATGAAGCACGTGCTCTCTGCACCTCCTTGCAGCCACCCCACCGCACCTGTGTCACTGCAGCGGCTCCCTTCCAAAAAAAACCCCCCAAAATACCGTAGGAAAACGCCCACGCGAGGAGCGGCACGTGGTTTCGCCCACCTCCTGGCGCCGGACCACCCCGTGATCCAGGGCACGACATACGCCCGAGATGCCAGAAGTTCAAAGCTAGATTAGATCCCGGTAATGTTCCTCTCCAGCCTTAAAAAAAAGGGCGAGAGGAGAAGGAAGATGGAGGAGGAGCGGCAGCAAGTCACAGAAGGAAGCCGGAGGATGGAAATTAAAGCAGGCTGGGGTTTATTTAGGCCACCCCTTCCTGCAAATCCTTGGTGTGGAGATTACACAGCAGCCGCCTCTATCTCTGCGAGCACATACTGGTTCTGGTTACCGGGAGCCAGAAGAGACCCTTCAGATGAGCCCTGAGCATCTCATAATCTCAAACAAGACCCATCCCTGAGCTCAGGACTACAAACACAAAGAGACGACGTATCCAGCTGAATAAAGCCATCAAATGCCAGCGGCTAACGTATAACCAGGGCTTGAACTGCGTTACACAGGCAATCTCGTGGGACAGGACCTCATACACACACCAGGAGGGTCCCTGATAGGAGGCAGATCCATATAAACCAGCAAAAACTCAGCTCCGGCGGTCCTTGCTACCCAACAGCCAGCACCGCATCACCGCAGGCACCGGCAAACGCCAACCTGCTCTTCTGCCCGGACAAAGTCCGATGCTTACCTGCCCCATGTCCCACGTTCCCCACCACTGCTCCCCGTGCCCTCTCACTGCTCGGTAATTGAATTGCCGGAGGTAACAGCATCTGGGCAGAGGGTTGCTGCCTGTGTGTAACACTCAGCTCGAGAAGGTGCCTTGCTCTAAGAGCAGTTCCCCCCCCAAGATGCGACCCCAGATGCTCTGCAGTGGCTGGCAGAGAGGGGACAGCGTCTCACCTGCGCCCGGACCAGCGACTCAAAGCTGGGCTTGAAGTAATCAATGCGGCTGCTATAAAACTTGGGCATTTCCTCCAGCAGCTGCTTGTTCTTGGCTTCAAAGTCCTCCTTCACCGGCCTTAGCTCTTCACGGGCCTGGGAAAGAAGAGAGGATGGGCAGTCAGACATCTGGGAAAAAGCCCTTCCCTTGGGCAGACCTGCACAGAGGCCACCCCAGGCCAGCGGACTGCTCTGCTTTGGCCCAAGGACCACCAGCAACCAGCTAATGAAGCCTGGGGGGACCCAAGTGACCAACTAATGGAGCCTGGGGGGACCCAAGTGACCGGCTAACTGAGCCTGGGCGGGACCAAGTGACCAGCTAACAGAGCCTGGGGGGACCCAAGTGACCAGCTAACAGAGCCTAGGGGGACCCAAGTGACCAGCTAACTGAGCCTGGGGGGACCAAGTGACCAGCTAACGGAGCCTGGGGGGACCAAGTGACCAGCTAACGGAGCCTGGTGAGACCCAAGTGACCAGCTAATAGAGCCTGGGGGGACCCAAGTGACCAGCTAATGGAAACTGGTGGGACCAAGTGACCAGCTAACGGAGCCTGGGGGGACCCAAGCTCTGACCCTGGACCATGGGGAAAGCCATGGAACACCTAGAGATGTCTGCAGAGATCGTGAGCCAGCTGGTCTTCTCCCCTTCAGAAGAATGGGGACAAAAAACGATCTCAAAGCTCAGCCAGGCTGGAGAACATCCCCAGCCACGTCCGTGTCCCCTCGCCTTGCAATTCCCAAGAGCATCGCCAGAGGATCCTGCCCCCACCGTCATTTTCGCCCGTGACCTTCAGCTCAGCGCGTCCAACTGGCTTCTTTAAACAGAAGCGTGGGGAGAAAGGGAAATGTCTCTGAGATGGTGTGGAAAAGGGCAGGAGGGGGTGGGCTGTGAAATATTAGACCGGTTCAAGTCTGCCACTTAATCCCGGTGCCATTCCGACGGGAGGGGGATGCAGGAGAAAGCCGGCGAGCCGAGCCCAGCCGCGGCGCCGGTCCCGCTCCCTGGGACAGCACGCTGGAGGGGTGACACGGACAAAGCCTTAAATCATATCAGGCTTAAGTAAGTCTGAGAGGCAAACGAGCAAATTCATCGTCTGCCACGAAACAAGGAGCGTTTAGGCTCCCGGGGTGGAGTTCACGTGGGGCACCAAACGGCAGAAGACTTTGAGCAAACAGCTCTGAAGGGAAGATGCAAATTTGCAGCTCAATAAAAATACCTGGATGAGCTTATGCCATTCCCCATCAAATCTGTGGACCTCTCGGACGCCCCAGGTTCAGGATTGCTTAAGGCTCCTGCAGGCATTTAAGCTGGGGGGGCGGAATTAGATCACACAGAAGTTCATTAAGGGGGAAAAAAAAAAATTAAATAACTGAAACCTGCTTAATCACCAGGACAAAAGCATTCACATTTTTCCAGCCACAGCTTTAGTCACCGAGGCTAAGCAAAGTAAGCTGCTTACTATTAAATCGGAGGTCTCTTTTGTTAAGGCTGATAGGGCTATTCTTTAACACAAAACTTAATTTTTGTGGGGAATGTCATCAGAAAATACATGTTCTTTGACGCTGAGAAAGTCAACTGTTCCTTCGAGGATCAAGCAACATTCTGCAGAAGTGACAGATTTGGAGAGAAATGCTGGTGAATATTTAATTTAGAAAAAAATAATCATGATTTCGCTAAAATTTGGGAGAGAGAAAAGAATCTGGCAAAGCTTCCTGTTAACCAACCACTGCAATTTTCCAAGACGAATTTTTGTAACAGGTGGCAAACATAAAGCCTCAAAACGCTCTGATCTTCCCCTTTTCCCATCCAGCTGCTTGCTCAGACGCGGAGGTCGGGGGAAAGCCCCCATGCATCGACTTCAGCGCTGGCTGCTCCTCCGAGCATCCCCAGCTCCTGTGGCTTTTATTCCTTTTTATTTTGGAAAACCAGCTCTTCCCCTTCGCCCAGTGCTGTAATTCGCATTTTTGTTATCAAGCGCCCTACGTGGCGATTTTACCTCGATAAAAGACATCCTTCCAAAAGGTTCTATTTCATGGGGGGCTTGGCATGGATGTCAAATGCTGAGAGAAAAAGCTCTTCCCGAGTTTTCCCGGTGACCCTGCTCGGGATTTGGGTCCGCGAGCATCTCGGTACCTGGTGCAGCTTGGCGAGGACGGGGCCGGTCCTCTCCTTCTCCTCGTATTTCTCCACCTTGGACTGCAGGCGCTTGTAGTCCTGCAGCGTTTGCTCCCGTCTCTTCACTGCCATGTTCAGGCTGGGGGACACGCTGCTGAACCTGGTGAAAGGATGGGAAGGGGTTTTTTTGGGTGGGGTAGCTCGGTCGGAGGCAGCCCCCAAGGCGAGCCCCCAGCCACAAGTCCCCAAATAATTCAGGATTCAGACCGAAAATAGCCAGAGGTTTAAACAAAGCCTGTTCCAAACACAAAAGCTTTCATTGCAATCTTCCAGGAGACTGGAAGAAAGGATTAAGTTTATATATAAAGATTTGCAAAGCCTTGCCAGGGTACGGTGTTTGAGAGGAGACCTAGAAGCACATGCTGGGTTTTTTTTTTTTTGTGTGAAGGTCAATTCATGTGTCGAAGGGTGTGTTTTTAAATAATAATAATAAACACGGAGCCAATTTTGCAAAGCCTGGTAAAAGTACTTTGAAAGTCCCAACCTGCTTCTGACTTCTCCTGCCAGCCCTTATGCTTTTACCATTAGTTCTTTATTTTTAACAGTTTGCCCCCTCTCTTCCAGCTGCTGTATTTGAGAACATGGAGAGCTGCCTTATCTGGGCTGGGGGACGGAAGCCGCTGCAGAAAACAAAGCTGTTAACTCCACGGAGCAAACCAAAAAGGAAAAATAAACAACCTTCCCCCCATATATAGTTAGCTAATGTGGTATTTCCCCAATACCGTGTTTGGAAAGGGAAGGAGCAAGGAGAATAGTTGGATCAAAAGTCCAGGAAAAATAAATACGAAGTGCAAAATAAATATTAACCGCAGCAACTTTTGCTTTTTCGGGCAATTTCTGGGGTTGCAAACCCCAGCCTGTCGTAAGGCAAGGCTTGCCCAGCTGAAGAGGAGCTCTGTACCCCACACAGAAGGATTAACAGGAGCCAACAATTAGCCAGGCTACGGGAAGATTCATATTATTAAAATGTGTTACAAATTGAGGAAACATGAACATCTGACGGCAAAGACAAGAGAGAGTATTTTTGAACGCGACAGAAGAGGGAAAGCCAGAAACGGGAGCATTGCTCTTGTCTCCCAAATTTCAGTAAATCAAATTATACTGGTGGGGACTGCGCTGGTGCGGGGCTATGGGTTCGTACGAAATGGGTCACACTACCTCCGGCTATATTAATGTAATCTCCACAAATTATAAGGTCATTTTGGGGGGGCCGAGGCCAGGAACCGGTTGTGAAAAACGTGTCTAAACAGCCTGGTGATAATTTTTACTTCTGAGAGGCAAGCAAACAGCTTTCTGATCGCTTTAAATTGAAAAAAAAAAAACAAACCCAAAACCCTATAATCCAGGCTGGGGGGCACATTAGCAAAAAGAAAAACACAAATCTCACTTTACGACTGTAATTTGCTTTAGATGTAATCAGATGCGGGGCTAATACAGAGGCATTTGGGTTCAAAGAAAACCACGGGCGCTCGCAGCCCTGCACAGCCACTCCATCCCCTATTCAAATCTCATTTTCCGCTGCCGTGCTCACCCCGGAGGGTGTTAATGTGCTGGACCGGCGGGCGCGGAGGCAAAGCTTTTGTCCCTGAGCTTGACCAGTTTGCAAAGGGCAAACGCCAGAAGCGAAGGGAAAGGGGAAATATTTGTGGTCAAGCTTTTGTGTTCACGTACTTGCGTTCAAGCATCCCTCATCGAGCTGGCGAACCAGCGACGTGTTCTTGCAATCCTGCTCGGCCGAGGATAACCAGGGCCGGTCGGTGCAGGGCGCTCTCATGCGCTCACCCGACGATATTCTCCTCCTGACTGCGACTACTGCAAGAGGCTATTGGCAGCCGGGGCCGCGGCACGAGGAGCAACCTGCAAAAGTCATCAGGGAGCTCGCCCAGCGTCACCCTGCCGCCCAGCTGCCCGCGCGCGGATCAGATGCTGCTGCCCTGACATTGCTTTTTATGGTAACCTTCGCACACGGCTCCCCATTATATTTAAATGCCGCCGCGGCTTACGGGTCCTGGCTGTGCCGGGATCCAAGCGTGGACTCGCCATCTCCTGGGCTATGGGCTGCTGCTAAAATACCTCCTCGCTCTACATAAGGTCCAAAAATACGCTGTGAGAGGGCCAGGGAAATAGGGATGGGCAGCAAGGACGGCAGGGAGGAAGGGAAGGGGTCCCCAGGTTGAGAGGTCTCCTCGGTATAAAAGCACAGACGTTCTTTGCCGATAGCGCACACTTAACGTCAGCAGCTTGCGGTCGCAGCTTCTGCAGAAATTTCTCCCAATTATTAATGAGTTGGCAATGGAAGGGAAGGATCCCGTCAGGCCAGCGGCTCTCGGCTTTATTTTTGTGTTCTACCCCGATGGGGGGGTTGGTAACAGGGCACACAACCTCTTACCTCTCTGCATCGCACCCAAAAGCAGGGCGGGAGCAAGTTGCAGCGCACTAAGGACTACGGGGGCGAGCCAAGCTGCTCCTCCGCAACGAGCTGCTCCTCCGCGATGTGCCTCCGGGCCCGGGAAACATGGCCCTGGGCTGGGAAAATCCTCCCTTCCCTGGTCTGCAGGGAGGCTGCGTGCCGAACGCCGAGCCGCAGCCGTCCCCTCCGGCGCTGC